CAGCTCAGCCAACATGGCGAAATCCCATATCTACTAAAAATACAAAAAATTAGCTGGGCCTAGTGGCGCATGCCTTAGTTACAACTACTTGGGAAGCTGAGGCAGGAGAATCGCTTGAATCCAGGAGGCAGAGGTTACAGTCAGCCGAGATCGCACCACTGCACTCCAGCCTGGGTGTTAGAGTAAGACTCCATCTCAAAAAAAAAAAAAAAAAAAAAAAAGAAAGGAAAAAAGAAAAGAAAATGAAAATAATACTCCAAAATGAAGGCCTCAGCAGCAGCTTCAGTAGCAAAAGTTTTCCTTGGACCTTTTCCTGCCCTCCTGTCACTCAGTCCCATTGTCCCCAAGGCTAGCTATGAAAACTAGAATTTCTCTTCCCCAAAGGCAGGTCATAAAAACCAAAACCCTTTTGCCCAAAGCCAGTCATAAAACCTAAAAATATTACTTTAACTTTTCTTCCACTCTATCTGTATAAAAGCTGACCATAGGCCAGCGTGGTGGCTCACCCCTGTAATCCCAGCACTTTGGGAGGCCGAGGCGGCCAGATCACCTGAGGTCAGGAGTTTGAGACCAGCCTGACCAACATAGTAAAACCCTGTCTCTACTGAAAATACAAAATTATCCGGGAAATTAGCCGGGTGTGGTAGCATATGCCTATAATCCCAGCTACTCAGGAAGCTGAGGCAGGAGAATGGCTTGAACCCGGGAGGCAGAGGTTGCAGTGAGCTGAGATCTCGCCATGGCACTCCAGCCTAGGCAACAAGAGCGAAACTCTGTCTCAAAAAAAAAAAAAAAAAAAAATTAGCTGGGTGTGGTGGTGCACATCTATAGTCCCAGCTACTTGGGAGGCTGAAATGGGAGGATCATTGAGCGGGGAATGTTGAGGTTGCAGTGAGCAGTGATCAGGCCACTGCACTCCAACCTGGGGGACAAAGGGAGACCATGTCTCAAAATAATAATAATAATCTGACCTACCTTACTTGACTGTGAGTCATAAAACTCCTATTCCAGAGAAGGTCCTGCCCCGTACCTCCATCAAAAAAATACACACTCATAAAGAGCCAAAAAAACCCAAAAGCAAACAAACAAACAAGAAAACCTAGACAGAAAGGCCTTGCTGGTTCTCCCCACTCAGTGTACTCACATCAGATCATACCCTTTTTCACCAGTCATATTTCTTTTTTCTTTTTTCTTTTTTTTGAGAAAGAGTCTCGGCGGCCGGGCGCGGTGGCTCAAGCCTGTAATCCCAGCACTTTGGGAGGCCGAGACGGGTGGATCACAAGGTCAGGAGATCGAGACCATCCTGGCTAACACGGTGAAACCCCGTCTCTACTAAAAAATACAAAAAATTAGCCGGGTGAGGTGGCAGGCGCCTGTAGTCCCAGCTACTCGGGAGGCTGAGGCAGGAGAATGGCGTAAACCCGGGAGGCGGAGCTTGCAGTGAGCTGAGATCCGGTCACTGTGCTCCAGCCCGGGCGACAGAGCAAGACTCCGTCTCAAAAAAAAAAAAAAAGAGAAAGAGTCTCGCTCTGTCACCCAGGCTGGAGTGCAGTGGCGCGATCTCGGCTCACTGCAACCTCTGCCTCCCGGGTTCAAGTGATTCTCCTGCCCCAGTCTTCCAAGTAGCTGGGGTTACAGGCGCCCGCCACTATGCCCAGCTAATTTTTTGTATTTTTGGTAGAAACTGGGTTTCACCATGTTGGCCAGGCTGATCCAGAAAACTCCTGACCTTGGGCTAGGTGTGGTGGCTCACACCTATAACTCCAGCACTTTAGGAGGCCGAGGCGGGCGGATCACGAGGTCAGGAGATCGAGACTATCCTGGCTAACACGGTGAAACCCTGTCTCTACTAAAAATACAAAAAATTAGCCAGGCGTGTTGGCAGGTGCCTGTAGTCCCAGCTACTTGGGAGGCTAAGGCAGGAAAAAGGCGTGAACCTGGGAGGCGGAGCTTGCAGTGAGCTGATGGGAGACAGCGAGACTCCATCTCAAAAAAAAAAAAACTCCTGACCTCATGATTCTCCTGCCTCGGCCTCCCAAAGTGTTGGGATTACAGGCGTGGTCACCATGCCCGGCCAAAAAATATGGAATGCTTCATGAATTTGCGTGTCATCCTTGCCCAGGGGCCATGCTAATCTTCTCTGTATCATTCCAATTTTTAATATATGTGCTGCCAAAGCGAGCACTATTTCTTTATCTTATTTTAATATTTTGTATTTTTTAAGAAACAGAGTTTTGCTCTGTTGTCCAGGCTACAGTGCAGTGGCGTGATCATGGTTCACAGCGTGTTGAACTCCTGGGTACCAGCCAACGTCCTGCCTCAGCCTCCCTAGCAGCTGGGCCTACAGATGTTTGCTACCACATCTGGCTTACTTTTTAAATTTTTTGTAGAGACAGGGTCTTGCCATGTTGCCCAGGCTGGTCTTGAACTCCTGGGCTCAAGCAGTCTTCCCACCTCGTCTCTTAAAGTGCTGGGATTACAGGCTCATGCCTTTGCACCCAGCCATCATTTTACTTACTTATCCATTCGAAGTAAATTGTAAACATCAGTATTTGTCACCCCTAAACATTTCAGCAAGTATATCATTAGGTAGAGTACAATATTTGTTTATGATTCTTTCTTTGTGGTAAGCTTTGTGGAAAGATTCTTTGTTTATATCGGTGAAATGCATAAATCTAAAATGTACAGTTGGCTGGGCACAGCAGCTCACACCTGTAATCCCAACACTTTGGGCGGCTAGGGCAGCAGCAGCGCTTGAGCCCAGAGATTCGAGACCAGCCTGAGCAACATAAGGAGACCCCCGTCTTTACAAATATATATATTTTTAATTAGCTGGGCATGGTGGTGCCCACCCTGGGAGGCTGCGGTGGGAGGATCACTTGAGTCCCAGAGGTTGAGCCTGCAATGAACTGTGATCACACCACTGCACTCCAGCCTGGACAATAGAGTGAGATCCTGTCTCAATAAAAGTAAAAATAAAAAGAGAATTTAATAAAATAAATGTAAATGTAATAAAACAAAATAAAATATATGAGCCAAGGAGTTCCAACAAATGCACAGAGCTGTGTGGTCTAAGGTATAGAACATATCCGTCACTCCAGAAAGTTGCTTTAGACATGCGAACATTTCAACTTAGTTTAAGTCATGCTTATAACCGGTTTTACAGCATTTTATCCAATTAATAATATAGAGGGTTTAATTCATCACTTCGTGGTTTGTCCTGAAGCTTGCTAACCCATTACATCAGAAAGCCAACTCAGCTAATTTGAAAGTGGGTGAGTCAGTGAATGGTGAATAAGTAAACACAAGAGTGAATAAAGAATAGAGGGATGAATGAAAATGTAAAGAAATCAGCCGGATGCAGTGGCTCACGCCTGTAATCCCAACACTTTGGGAGGCCGAAGTGGGCAGATCACGAGGTCAAGAGATTGAGACCATCCTGGCCAACATGGTGAAACCCTGTTTCTACTAAAAATACAAACATTAGCTGGGCATGGTGGCACACGCCTGTAGCCCCAGCTACTCAGGAGGCTGAGGCAGAAGAATTGCTTGAAGTCAGCAGACAGAGGTGGCAGTTAGCAACCTCTGTCTCCAGCCTAGGAAACAGAGCAAGACACCTTCAAAAAAAAAAAAAAATCAATGAATGGGCCAGGCACAGTGGCTCATGCCTGTAATCCCAGCACTTTGGGAGGCCGAGGCGGATGCACCACCTGAGGTCAGGAGTTCAAGACCAGCCTGGCCAATATGGCAAAACCTTGTCTCTACTAAAAATACAAAAATTAGCCGGGTGTGGTGGCAGGTGCCTGTAATTCCAACTACTTGAGAGGCTGAGGCAGGAGAATTGCTTGAACCGGGGAGGTGGAGGTTGCAGTGACCTGAGACCGCACCATTGCACTCCAGCCTGGGCGACAAGAGCAAAACTCTGTCTCAAAAAATAAACACATAAAAATAAAAACAAAACAAGAAATCAATGAATGATGAAATCAGCAAAATAGTGATTTGATGAATGCATGGTTGGGTGGATAGATGGAGAGATGAAAAGATAGATGAATGGATAACTTTCCAGCTTGGGTTAAAAGGGTAAAAAAATAGACAATGAAGAGATGAATGGATAATTGGATAGAAAGAGATGGAAAAGTGATGAATGGCTGAATGGAGGGATGAACGGGCATATGGAGGACAAATGGATGAGTGTGATGAAAGCAGAGAATTACATGGACAAATAGAGGGATGAAGAAATGAATGGATGGACGAAAGTTAGATGTAAGGATGGCTGAATGAATAGACAGATGGACTGGTAGATGGTTAGATGTTTGGATGGATGGAGAGGATGACGGATGGTTAGATGCATGGGTGATGGATAAAGTGTCGAATGAAAGAATGGTTGGATGTTTGGATGAGTGGGTGAACATATGGTTGATTGGATGTTTGGAGAGATTGACCATGAGATGATGAGTGCAGAGGTAAATGGATGGGTGGATGGGTAGGTGGATAAAAGGTTGGATGAAAGATGGTTGAACCATCTGATCAATGGAGGGATTGATGAGGTCTAGATGTTGGACGTTTGATTGATGGATGGTTGGATGGACTTTTGGTTGGATACATGGAGAGATTAATGGATGTTGGGATACATGAGTGGAGAGATGGATGCATGGATGTATGGAACGAGAGGCTGTATAGTGGTTAAGTGTGCAGATCCTTGGGAGCCAGACCACCTGGATTTGAATCCTCCTTCTGCCATTTATGCACTGTGTAATTTGGGCAATTTGTTTCATTTTCCTTTGTTTCCTCATCTGTTACAGAGGGATGATAATAATTGTTTCTACCTCTTGGGGTTGCTGTGAGAAATGAATGAGCCCTAAATCAGTGCTTGGGGCATAACCAGGTTTATGATGATGGGAGGATGGATGGTCAGATGACTGGATGGATGAAGGATAGATGAAGTGCATGACTGAATGAAGGAAGGGAAGAGTAGTGGGGGAGCAGATGGAGACACACACTCATGAGACACCCTCAGACATTTTATTAGGGGCTTAGAAAGGAGTCCTAGGGGATCATTCTATTTTCCCATGAGTTATGGCCCCAGGAATAGATTAGATCTGGACATAGGACAAGGTAACATCACCCTGGATTTCCACCGTGTCTACCCTCTGAAAGGCCAAGAAGCGATGGGCAAAGTCAAAGAGGTGCTGGCCATTGGCGAAAACCTTGAAGCGATCCAAGCCACAGCGAATGGACAGCTGCAGGGAGAGTGGGGGGCGTGAGGCCAGGGCCAGGACCAAGGCCCTGGAAGGAAGTGGGAAAAGAGAACCCAGACTCACATCAAAGAACTGTCCAGGACCAAACGGGTTATGCGTGATCTTCCTCTCCTCGGATCCCCACGAGCCTTTCAGAAGGCTGTTCCGGACCACGGTACCGTCACCCATGCGGGGATTAATATGCAAAGCTATGTCCCCCGTGGAGCCCACCTTGAAGTTGATGGCAAAGCTGGGGACAGAGAGGGAGCAGGGAGTCAGATGGAGTCCAGTGGGGAGGGGCCTGTGGGCTGGACCTCTGAGTCCCTAAAGGAGGAGGGGACAGAGGGTCTAGACTGTTGGGTCTGAGGAGGGAGGAGGGGGCTGGGGGTTCCCACCTAGTCTACGTTATACCTCTTGCCTGTGGGGGGGACATAGCCCTTGATGATGATGGTTCTTCGAGCCGTGAGCCCTCCTTGCAGCCTCCCGAAATATGGCACAGGCTGTAGGAAGAGAATGGGGGGGTCCCATTCTCTCTCAGCTTAGCAGAGCCAGATGTGGGAAGAAATTTTATTTTTCTTTCCTTTTCTTTCCTTTCTTTTTTTCTCATAAGAGATGGGGTCTCACTCTGTCACCCAGGCTGGAGTGCAGTGGCATTATCAAGTCTCACTGCAGCCTCGAACTGCTGGGCTCAAGCAATCCTCCCATCTCAGCCTCCCGAAGTGCTGGAATTACAGGCATGAGCCACCACGCCCAGCCTTGCAGGAACAAATTTTGTTTTCTTTTAGGCAGAGTCTCCCTCTGTTGCCCAGGCTGCAGTGGCACAATCTCAGCTAACTGCAACCTCTGCCTACCGGGTTCAAGCAATTCTCCTGCCTCAGCCTCCCGAGTAGCTGGGATTACAGGCGCCCACCACCACACCTGGCTAACTTTTGTCATTTTAGTAGAGATGGGGATTCACCATGTTGACCAGGCTGGTCTGGACCTCGGCCTCCCAAAGGGCTGGGATTACAGGCATGAGCCATCAGCTGGGATTACAGGCGCCCACCACCACGTCCAGCTAATTTTTGTATTTTTAGTAGAGACAGAGTTTCACTATGTCGGCTAGGATGGTCTCGCTCTCCTGACCTCGTGATCCGCCCGCCTCGGCCTCCCAAAGTGCTGGGATTACAGGCGTGAGCCACCATTCCTGGCCCAAGAACAAATTTTCTGAGAGGCCCTACTCCTCCTGGAAAACATCCCCAACCCCTTCCGCTCCCTAAACCTGACCACCAACTCTATCTACCCTCTCCCCACCTCCCACCCCAAACACCCTCAGCCCACTCTCTTTCTGGCTGTCTCAGGTTCCCCGGGGATCCGTGCCTCCCCCCGACCATCCATCTCTGTTTCCCCTAAGCCATACCGGGTTGAAGGTTGGGGGTCCTTCCATGGTCTGTGAAGTGAGGAAGAAGCGATATTATTCTCCAAGAGTCAACAGATATCTACGACACACCCATTAGACTCCGGCGTTTCTCTAGGTGCTGGGTTAGTACACCTGGGGCTGCAACCCCTCTTAGCTTCCCCCACCCCAATTCTCACCATTCCCACTCCCCACCCGGGGGCATCTCAGCCCTCCCACTCACGGGCAGGCTGTTCAGCTGTTGATGGCAATGTCCGGGACCCTGAACGATGGACAGAAGGCAGGAAGGGTGAGAGGGGCTGAGGGACCCCCACTAAGGGGGAAGACCCTCACCCGTCAGCAAGTACTTACAGGGTAAGGTGGCATCATTGGGGGTCCCTGTGGGCACAGAAAGAGAAAGCGGTTATGAGAGGGTCCCCACATTTGGGACTGAAAGATGTCAAGGGTGCCTGCCCTGGGGTGGCCCACCACCACCACCACTGTGCCAGGGAACTCTGGCATCAAAGGGTGGCACCCCAATCACAGATTCATGGAGAGGGGCATCCCATGTTGAGGGATTGCTGATGCCCGGTGAGTCACCCCAAAGTTGTAGGACAATGCCTGGTCCATTCCGTTCTCTGTAGCCTTCCCCATGCTGTTCTCCTGCTGTCCCGGGGCCCTCACTCACTATCCTTGATCTCAGTTTCCGCCTCTATCTCTGTGTTTCTGTCTCTCTCTCTGTCTTGGCCACACCTCAGCGCAGGGGCTTCCTTCTGCCTAACACCTTTATTTATTTTATTTAATTAATTTATTTATTTGAGATGGAATTTTGCTCTCGTTACCCAGGCTGCAGTGCAGTGGCACAATCTCGGCTCACCTCAACCTCTGCCTTCCGGGTTCAAGTGATTCTCCTTCCTTAGCCTCCCAAGTAGCTGGGATTACAAGCATGCGCCACCACGCCCGGCTAATTTTGTATTTTTAGTAGAGACAGGGTTTCTCCATGTTGGTCAGGCTGGTCTCAAACTCCTGACCTCAGGTGATCCGCTCGCCTCAGCCCCCAAGTCTAACACCTTTAACTTTTAATCTCTGTCTCTGCCTTTCTCTCTGTTTCCTCGTCTTTTCTCCTCCTTGTAATTAACTCCTTTCTGTTTTGACTTCTATTCTCAGCCAGCTATCCCAAAAGTCCTTTAAAAGTAGCTTTATATAGCCGGGTGTGGTGGCAGGTGTCTGTAATCCCAGCTACTTGGGAAGCTGAGGAAGGAGAATTGCTTAAACCTGGGAGACGGAGGGTACAGTGAGCTGAGATTGCGCCACTGCACTCCAACCTGGGCCACAGAGCAAGACTCCATCTCAAAAAAAAAAAAAAAAAAAAAGTAGCTTTATATGCCAGGCGCTGTGTCTCACGCCTGTAATCACAGGACTTTGGGAGGCTAAGGTGGGTGGATCACCTGAGGCCAGGAGTCCAAGACCAACCTGGACAACATCGGGAGATTCCTCCCCTCTGTCTTTAAAAAAAATTTAAAGATTAGCTGGGGATGGCGGCGTGTGCCTGTAGTTCCAGCTACTCAGGAGGCTGAGGTGGGAGGATCACTTGAACCCAGGAAGTCAAGAATGCAGTGAGCTGTGATTGCACCACCACACTCCGGCCTGGGTGACAGGGCCAGACCCTGCCTCAATAATAATAATAAATTAAATAAAATTGAGAAACTCAATTTAATTGCTTGTTATTTATTTTTAATGATGGTGTTAAGCAACCTCTTGGGAATTCATTCATTATCGTGTATTCTTTTCCCTTCCTTATCCTCACTTCCTGACTCACCTTACATGCTTCCTCCTCCACCAGGAAGCCCTGCCTTCCTGACCCATGGCTAGTCAAGCCCTTCCTTTAGGCTCCCAAAACCTCCTGCATGCTCCACATCCCAGCCCCAACCCCTCTGCCTGTGCCCTCCCTACCACAGCCCTGACCATTTCTGATGCCATGTCTGTGAGCCCGGTGAGGTCAGGGCCCAGAGATATCTCAGTCATTCCCGTCTCCAGCCCTGCCTAGCCCAGGGCCTGACCCCTCTGCCTGCCCCCACCCACCCCCTATCCTGACCCTGATCCCTCTGCCTGGGACCCAACCCAGCTGCAACCCTTCAGCCTGGGCCTCCCCTTCCTGGCCCTGATCCCTTGCAGTGATGGGTCTGTCTTCCCAGTGGGCTCCCTTGATCATCACTGGGCTCTTGACATCACTCAGCAGAGAGAGATGCTTGGGAAATAAATGAATGTGGAACCTGGCTGGGCACCATGGCTCACATCTGTAATCCCAGCACTCCGGGAGACTGTAGCCAGTGGATCTCTTGAGGCCAGGAGTTCAAGACCAGCCTGGCCAACATGGTGAAACCCCATCTCTACTAAAAATACAAAAATTAGCTGGATGTGATGGTGGGTGCCCATAATCCCAGTTACTTGGGAGGCTGAGGCAGGAGAATCGCTTAAACCTGGGAGGCGGAGAGTGCAGTGAGCCAGAATCACGCCACTGTACTCCAGCCTGGGCGACAGAGCAAGACTTCATCTCAAAAAGAAAAAATAGGCCAGGCCCGATGGCTCACGCCTGTAATCCCAGCACTTTGGGAGGTTGAGGCGGGCAGATCACAAGGTCAGAAGATTGAGACCATCCTGGCTAACACGGTGAAACCCTGTCTCTACTAAAATATAAAAAAATTAGCCAGGCGTGGTGGCGGGTGCCTGCAGTCCCAGCTACTCGGGAGGCTGAGGCAGGAGAATGGCGTGAATCCGGGAGGTGGAGCTTGCAGTGAGCCAAGATTGCACCGCTGCACTCCAGCCTGGGCGACAGAGCGAGACTCAGTCTCAAAAAAAAAAAAAAAAAAAAAAAGAAAAAAGAAATAAAAATGAATGTGGAACTGAATTTAGAAAGGAAGACGCAAGAAGGGATGGGACCCCTCACACCTGGGGCGGGGGGAGCTGGCCTCCGATGAAGTTGATTGACTGAAGTTGCAGATCCCCATCCACTTGCAGGTGGGTGACCATCTGCAGGGGAAGCCGGTGCCCATACTCATAGAAGGAATTTCCATTTACCACCACCTGGAGGGCAGAGATGGGAGGTCAGGAATCAGCACACATGATCCTGGGAAGGTAGAAACAGGAAGCAGGGACATGGTGCCATGGCTCATACCTCTAATCCCAGCACTTTGGGAGGCTGAGGTGGGCGGATCATTTGAGATCAGGAGTTTGAGACTAGCCTGGCCAACATAGTGAAACCCCTCCTCTATTAAAAATAACAAAAATTAGACAGACGTGGTGGCATGCGCCTGCAATCCCAGCTACTCGGGAGGCTGAGGCAGGAGAATCGCCTGAACCCTGGAGGTGGAGGTTGCAGTGAGCCAAGATCACACTGCTGCACTCCAGCCTGGGTGACAGAGCAAGACTCTGTCTCAAAAAAAAAAAAAAAAAAAGCAGGGAACAGGGATCTTTTTCACTGGGAGTCGAAAGTCTTGGGGATGAGCTGGGACAGCCTCAGCAACAGGAACCTTGGAGTCCACAGCTCAGAGGCCAAGCTAGGGTCAAAAGTCAGCTCACTGGCCAGGTGCGGAGGCTCATGCCTGTAATCCCAGCACTTTAGGAGGCCAAGGTGGGGGAATCATTTGAGATCAAGAGTTTGAGACCAGCTTGAGCAACATAGCAAGACTCTGTCTTTACAACATAGCAAGACCCTGTCTTTATAAAAACACACAAAAATTAGCCGGGCGTGGTGGTGTGCACCTGGAGTCCCAGCTACTCCGGAGACTGATGTGAGAGGGTCACCAGAGCCTGGGGAGGTTGAGGGTATAGGGAGCTGTTTGCATCACTGCACTCCAGCCTGGGCAACAGAGCGAGACCCAGTCTTAAGAGAAAAAAAAAAAGTACATGGTTTGCAAAACACACACACTGGTAGGAGGAAATACACATGAAATGTATTACAAGGCTCTCAGCAGTAGGGTAAAGGGACTAAGGAAAAGAACTAAAAGAGGATTTTTAAAAATAGGCAGGAAAGAAGGAAAAGAAAAGAAAGAAGTTGACATAAAAAGTGGGGATGGAACAAGGAAAGAAGGGAAGGAGGGAGGGAGAGAGAAGGAAGAAGAGAGGAGGGAAGGGGGGAAGGAAGGAGGGAAGGAAAGAGGAGAGAATGGAGAAACAGGAAGGAAAAAGAGGACAAAGAAGGAAGAGGCCGGGCACGGTGGCTCATGCTTGTAATTCCAGCACTTTGGGAGGCCGAGGCGGGCAGACCACCTGAGGTCAGGAGTTCGAGGCCAGCCTGGGCAACATGGTGAAACCCTGTCTCTACTAAAAATACAAAAATTAGTTGAGCGTGGTGGCACGCGCCTGTAGTCCCAGCTACTCGGGAGGCTGAGGCAGGAGAATCTCTTGAACCCAGGAGGTGGAGGTTGCTGTAAGCTGAGATCGTGCCACTGCATTCCCCTGGGCAACAGGGTGAGACTCTATCTCAAAAAAAAAAAAAAAAAAAGAAAGAAAGAAAACGAAGGAAAGAGGGAAGGAAGGAAGGAGCCGAGATGGCGCCACTGCACTCCAGCTCAGGAAACGAGAGAGAAAGCATGCAAACCTTGTAGTGCTCAGCCAGGACTAGGAAGACCAGCTCGAAGGCGGCGCCCTTTTTGAAGGGCATGCTTCTCTTCCTCTCCTCGCTGCCCCACTTCCCGCCCTGCAGGGTGTTGAAGACCACCTTGTCCCAGCCGTCAAACCGCGGATTGAAGTGGAAGGCGATGTCTGCGCCCGGGTCCTGTCCCACCGCAAAGTTCACGAAGAATCTGGCGGGACATGAAGGGCTCGTTCCCCCGGTGCCACCTCCCGGTGCCTGGGGGCCCCTCAAGGAAGCCCTCTCCCCGCTGTCCTGTCCCAGGGCTCCCTGGTCCGGACCTCAGCACCTGCTCTGAGGGGCGACCTTGGCACTGTGGGCCGTGGTGTGGAGGGGGCGTGAATTCTGAGGGGGGCAGATTCCCACCACCACCACACCTTCGCTCATAGCCTTTCCTTCTTCTTCTTTTTTTTTTTTTTGAGATGAAGTCTTGCTCTGTTGCCCAGGCCTGAGTTGGAGTGTCACAATCTCAGCTCACTGCAACCTCCACCTCCTGGATTCCAGTGATTCTCCTGCCTCAGCCTCCCAAGTAGCTGGGATTATAGGCGTGCACCACCACGTCCAGCTAATTTTTGTATTTTAAGTAGAGATGGGGTTTCACCAAGTTGGCCAGGCAGGTCTCGAACTCCTGACCTCAGGTGATCCACCTGCCTCGGCTTCCCAAAGTGCTGGGATTACAGGTGTGAGCCACCATGCTTGACCTTTGTTTTCTTTTTTTGAGACAGGGTCTCACAGTCTCGCCCTGTCCTCCAGGCTGGAGTGCGGTGGCCACGATGGCAGCTCACTGCAGCCTCAACCTCCTGGGTCAACTGATTTTCCTGCATCAACCGCCCTAGTAACTGGGACTACAGGTTCATGCCACTATGCCTGGCTTTTTTTTTTTTTTTTTGTAGAGACAGGGTCTCACTATGTTGCCCAGGCTGGTCTCAAACTCCTGGGCTCAAGCAATCCTACCACCTTGGCCTCCCAAAGTGCTGGGATTACAGGTGTGAGTTGCTGTACCCAGCCCACCTTGCCTTCTTAGACCACCTCCTCCAGCCTCTTCCCAACTTCCAGTTATGACTGCTATGAGTCTGCCACAGGCCAGGCTCTGTCCTATGCATTTTGGGTCTCCCTGCTCCGCTCCTGGCCCTGAAGATCATTTCCCTGATGCAGCCAGAGGGCCCCTGTGAGCACCCATGCCGCATCACATTCTGCACCCCCGGGCACACCAGCATCCTTGAAATTGCTCCCCAGGGCAGGCACACACCTGTCTCAGGGCCTCTGCACTGGCTCTTCCCTCTGCCCGGACGGCCCTTCCCTCAGCTGTCCCCGGGGATCCCTCTCTCCATTCCTTCTGTTCTTTGCTGAAATGTTTCCTTCCCAGGCAGACCTTCTCTGGCCGCCTTTTTAGTTTTTTTGAGACAGTCTATCTTTGTCACCCAGGCTGGAGTGCAGTGAAGTGATCTCAGCTCACTGCAACCTTTGCCTTCAGGGCTCAAGTGATTCTCCCACATCTGGCTCCCAAGTAGCTGGGATTATAGGCACCTGTTACCAGGCCTGGCTAATTTTGTATTTTTAGTAGAGATGAGATCTTGCCGTTTTGGCCAGGCTGGTATCCAACTCCTGAGCTCAGGTGATCCGCCTGGCTTAGCCACCCAAAGTGCTGGGATTACAGGCGTGAGCCACAGCGCCTGGCCTGGACTTCTTTTTTATGTTTTCCCTACTAGGATGTCAGCTCCATGAGGGCAGGGGTCTCTGTCCTGTTCACTCCTCCATCCCTAGTGTCAGGACACAGAGTGGGCACTCACTGAAGAAGTAAACAATAAATAAATAAACAACAGCCTGGGTAGAGTGGCTCACACCAGTGCCTGATCCTCCCAGCACTTTAGGAGGCCGAGGCTAGAGGATCGCTTGAGCCCAGGAGTTCAAGACCAGCCTGGGCAACATAACAAGACTTTGTCTCTACAAAACAAATAATAATAATAAATACAAATTAAAGCCAGGCGCAGTGGCTCATGCCTATAATCCCAGCACTGGGAGGCCGAGGCAGGCGAATCACCTGAGGTCAGGAGTTCGTGACCAGCCTGACCAACATGGAGAAGCCCCATCTCTACTGAAAAATACAAAATTAGCTGGGCGTGGTGGCACATGCCTGTAATCCCAGCTACCGGGGAGGCTGAGGCAGGAGAATCACTTGAAACCGGCAGGTGGAGGTTGCATTGAGCAGAGATGGCGCCATTGCACTCCAGCCTGGGCAACAAGAACGAAACTCCGTCTCAAAAACAAAAAAGTTAAAAATTAAATTAGCTGGGCGTGGTGGCGCATGTCTGTAGTCCCATCTGCTTGGGAAGATGAGGTGGGAGGATCCCCTGAGCCCAGGAGTTGGAGGCCGAAGTGAGCTTATATTGTGCTACTGCACTGCAGCCTGGGCAACACAGCAAGACCCTATCTCTAAGGGAAAAAAAAGTCATACGAGGCCAATTATTGTCACCGTGTTAAGGCCCTTTATAAAAAGCTAAGACTGGGCCAGGCACAGTGGCTCACACCTGTAATCCCAGCACTTTGGGAGGCTGAGATGGGCGGATCACTTGAAGTCAGGAGTTTGAGACTAGCCTGGCCAACATGGTGAAACCCCATCTCTACTAAAAATACAAACATTAGCCGGTATGCTGGCACGTGCCTGTAATCCCAGCTACTCGAGAGACTGAGGCAGGAGAATCGCTTGAACCTGGGAGACAGAGGTTGTAGTGAGCCGAGATCATGCCATTGCACTCCAGCCTGGGCGACAAGAGCAAAACTCCATCTCAAAAAAAAAAAAAAAAAGAAAAGAAAAGAAAAAAAAGAAAAGAAAGTGAAGTACAGAGAGTTATAGTCACTTTCACCCTTTCACCAACATAGAGCTGGGGAGTGGCAGAGCTGGGATTTTAACTCGGGCACCCAGGCCTGAGCCTGTGATCTCAATTCCTGCCATCGCACCCATCGGCTTCAGTCTAATGTCCAACTCAGGGGGCTGCCTCTCAAGGTGAGCCCTCCCTGAACCTTCCGGCCCCCACATACCCACTCCTGATCTGCCCCAGGCTCGTCTCTGGCTATTGGGTGGGGCAGCAAAAGAGTCCCCTCCTCACCAGGGTGGGGTAAGGCAGAAAGCCCCCAACAGCCAGGCCCAGAGCACTCTGTGGGAAGTCCCCTGCCAGCCCGGCCTGGCTTGGGGAGGGTCTTACCTCCTCATGTGCTCATTGGCTACTCCTTGGATGTAAACAGACATTCCCACGCTGAGCCCGCCTGGGATGGGCTTGTAGTAAGGCAGTGTCTGGAGAAGAGGCCTGGTGAGGGGACTCACAAGCCATCTGCCTGTTGCAGCCTTTACCCCTCCCGGAAAAGCCCCCCAGTCCCTTAAGCAGGGGAGAGGAAACCACGGGTGAGGACCAGGTTGAAGATGACGAGGGCCGATAGTTAGACGGGGACACAGACAGCCTGAGGGCAGGTTGGGAGTAAATTGAGGGTCTGGGTCAGCTTTGGGTAAATCAAACCACAGAGTTAGATGGGTCCCCCCAGGATCAGGTTAGGGAAAATTGGTGTGAGGGCTTATGGACGGAGCTGCAAGCAGGGTGGGGCCTGAGTCGGCGTCTCACCGGGTTGTAGGTGGGCTGGTAGCCCGGTGCGGGGACATAGGCCATCGCTCGAGGTTGCGCTAGTGGCTGGTCCTGTGAGAAGAGCTGCAGGAGGGGGAGATGGTGGCGGATGGCAGGCGGTGGTGGCTCTTATACCCAGGGTAAGGGCGTGGCTGGCAGGGGAGGATCCATAGGGCTCCTCTTCTGGGACTGTCAGACTGTCGGCTTCTCCTAGAGCGCACCCCAGTCTCCCTTCCCTTGCCAGCTTCCCTGGTGACCAGCCAGGACCCAAATCACCTGGGTCCCCTCCCCTAGGCCCCCCTGCAAAGAGGAAGTGCTGATGAACTTCGGCCCTGCCAGGGCCTTATCAGAGTCCATAAAACCCTGCCCAGAATTCTGTTGGCAGAGGGAGGGTGAGAACAGGCAGGGCAGGGCAGGGCTGCAGGAGTGACCCAGGACAGGTGGGCAGCGGAGGAGAACTCAGAGGAACGGCGAATTCCTCCTCTCCCAGCAACTGTGAAGGGACCTACATTGATTACGTGCCCACCACACGGCTTTACCACGTACGCTGTAGTGTAGTGAGAGTGGTTTAGATTACTAGTGTGTGGAGCCAGAGGCTCTGGGTTCAAATCCTGCCTTTGCCACTTCTCAGCTGTCTGATCCTGGGTCAGTGCCTTACCCTCAATTTGCCCATGTGCTCATCTGTAAAATGGGGATAGCAGTAGTATCGGCTGGGTACGGTGGCTCATGCCTGTAATCCCAGCACTTTGGTTGGCTGAGCTGGGTGGATCATCTGATGTCAGGAGACCAGCCTGGTGAAATTCCAGTCTCTACTAAAAATACAAAAACTAGCCAGGCATGGTGGCGGGCGCCTATGATCCCAGCTACTTGGAGGCTGAGACAGGAGAATCGCTTGAACCTGATGGTGGAGATTCCAGTGAGCCAAGATCATGCCACCGCACTCCAGCCTGGATGACAGAGAGAGACTGTTTCAGGGAAAAAAAAAAAAAAATCATAACAGAGGAAACAAGCATTGAATAGCTATCAAAATATTTTAAACATGAATTTGTGATCCAGTAATGCCTGTATGTCATTAATCTACCAAATAAGAAGATCTAGCAGTGGGTCCAACAGTTACTCAAAAAAAAAAAAAAAAAAAGAGTAGTATCAACGTTGGGCTGGGTGTGGTGGCTCGTGCCTACAATCCCAGCACTTTGGGAAGTTGAAGCAGGAGGACTGCTTGAGCCCAGGAGTTCAAGACCAGCCTGAGAAACATAGCGAGACCCCATCTCTAAAAAATAAAAATAAAAATTAGCTGGATACGGTAGCAAACATCTGTAGGCCTAGCTACTCGGGAGGCTGAGGCAGGAGGATCGCTTGAACCCAGGAGCTCAAGGTTGCAGCGAGCTATGATCATGCCACTGCACTCGAGCCTCGGTGACAGACTAAGACCCTGTCTCTAAAATTAACAACAATAATAGTCATAACAATAATCATAATAGTATCAACTTCATAGAGTCCTTGATCATTAAAATAATAAATGCTCAGAACAGGACTTGCCATATAGAAGTCATTACATTAATGCTTGGTCTCTTGCAGTCATTCCAAACATAAATCCAGAAGATTGGGAAGATATACGGATAAAAAGCCTTGAAGTTTTTGTTTGTTTTGTTTGTTCATTTTTGAGACAGAGTCTTGCTCTATCACCCAGACTGCTGTGCCGTGGCACCATCCCGGTTCACTGCAACCTCTGCCTCCTGGTTCAAGCGATTCTCCTGCCTCAGCCTCCTGAAGAGCTGGGATTACACGCATGCCCCACACCCGGCTAATGTTTGTATTTTTAGTAGAGACCAGGTTTTCCCATGTTGGCCAGGCTGGTCTCAAACTCCTGACCTCGAGTGATCAGCCTGCCTCAGCCTCCCAAAGGGCTGGAATTACAGGCATGAGCCACTGCACCCGGCCAGAAACCCCAAAGTTGTTTTTCATTTTTTGTGTTTTTGAGACAGAGTCTCGCTCTGTCGCCCAGGCTGGAGTGCAGCAGCATGATCTCGGCTCGCTGTAACCTCGCCTCCCAGGTTCAAGGATTCTCCTGCCTCAACCTCCCGAGTAGCTGGGACTACAGGCACCTGCCACCACACCCAGCTAATTTCTGTATTTTTAGTAGAGATGGGGTTTCACCATGTTGGCCAGGCTGGTCGCGAACTCCTGAACTCAGGCGATCCACCTGCCTCAGCCTCCCAAAGTGCTGGGATTACAGGTGTGAGCCACCGTGTCCAGCACTCCAAAGTTTTAAAGAAATGAGGCTCAAGATTTGGTAACGAGGGAATCCCAGCCAGACGCCAGCACCAGATCCCATGTGCTGTGCAGTGAGAGGCGCCAGGCAGGGCACAAACGCCACCCTCAACCCCAGGGCAGGCAGGGAGACCGGGAAGCCTTGCAACCCGGGGGAGCCCAGTGACTTTTGCTCACTCCCTCCTTCCCTGGCTCCCTTGTGCCCCTCGCCTGCCCGCTGCCAGTCTGAATGGCCATCACCTCCATGCCATCCATTCCCATGCATCCAGCCTCTAGCCCCAGCCTTCAGGACTGCGGTCTCTGGAGCCCCCACGGGCATCCCAGCCCCTCCCACCTCTCCTCTTTCCAAGAAGATCACCGGTTTCTTTACTTTGCTTTATTGTTCGTGGGGTGAAGATAAGGCCTTGGGCTTGAGGAAGTCATTGTCATATAGTTATAAACTGGGAGACTGGGTGAGAAGGCATAGAGACAACGGTCATCGCCCATCCTCCCTTTCTGCGGATGAGGTGGGACAAGGCCAGCCCCCTGGCTGGGGAACGGGATGCAAGGGCTCTCAGAGTTTGGAGAAGGTGACGCTTTTCAGTTCCTTGTTCTCAGTCACGGCTTGGACCGACTTGGTGATGTCCTGGGTCTGCAGCATGCTCATGTTCCAGGACGCCTGGTACCGAGGGTGTTAGGAAAGAAGGAGGAGACAGATTAGCAGGGGCCAATCAGGATGAAGCATGCGAGCACCCTGAGCCTTGGTTGGTCGCCTGGGGTTAGAGGAGGGCTGTGACTGGTTGGAGCAAGCGCCTTACCACGTAGTTGAGGCTCTCGGCCACCGAATGGTCGCGGGAGTAGAGCAGGTTGACCTTGGTGCTCTGCACCGCCACGGGGCTCTTGCTGGAAATCTCGGCCGCCAGCGCTAAGGCAGCATCGAGCATGACCTCCTTGTCTGGGAACACCCGGCTGCAGCGAAAGAGATCAGGGACCGGGTGGGCTGGGAAGGGCTCTCTCCCCCAGCCTCCCGCAGGTGAAGAAGTAGCCACTCACAGGGGAAGGCCCAAGACCCCAGAGAAACAGCCCAATGGGAGCAGGGGACTGACCTCACACTAAAGAAATGACCTCGCCAAGAAAGGATGCCACTTGGAATTCTCAAGCGAGGAGGCCTCTACCCCTCCAGGCCTGGCTGCCCCCAGCACTGAGCCACCAGGGCCATGGCCCTACCTGACCAGGCCACAGCCCAGGGCCTCATCAGCCATCATCTTGCGGGCGGTGAAGGCCAGCTCGTTGACCAGGCTGCAAAGGGGAGCGTGCATCAGGAGGTGGCTGTCACTCCGGGGCTGCAAGATGCTCTGGGGTGCCCCGCCCACACACCCACACCCCCTGCACCCACCTTTGGTTCCCGATGACCTTGGGCAGGCGCTGCAGTGTCCCTACATCGGCAGCCAAACCCACGTCCACCTCCTGAGGGAGGAACCGGGTCAGTGTGTGGTTTCTGCCCAATACTGTGCCCCTCGCAACACCAACGTCCATGAAATTTCATGTTTACTGGAGAGTCCCGCCCCACCTTCACCCCAGGGACTTCCTCCAAAGTCCCACTCCATTGCCCAGGCAGCTTCTTGGCTCAGGGAAGTTCCTTCAACCTAGAATAGAGCCCACTTCCCACTCATACGCCCTCCCATCCCTTCAGGGCATATCCATCTATCATGAGAGAGGCGCCCTTTTCACCCTACCTGAGACCCTTTTACTGTGTCCCTCGCTCCATCCTGCCTCCCACCTTCATCCGTATGGCCCCAGGAGCAATCCCTGCCTCTGGCACCTGCCAGCCTCAACCCCACCCCATATCTAACCCATTCACAACTTCACCTCTTGATTTCCTCTACGGATAAGTCTTACTTTGTCAGGTTCAACTCCGACTCTTCCATGAAGCCCTCGGGGCTCACTCCAGGCCCCCCAACCCCACCCCACTGCCCAGCTCTAAGCAGGAGCTCAGGAGGATGGCTCACCTTCACCTGGAAGAAAGCGTCCTGGGCACAGTACCGGATGTCACAGGCGGTGATGAGGTCCACACCTAGGAGGTAGAGGCCAGGGACGCTGAATGACCACCAGACCCAACCCCGCCTCCCAGGACGTGTGGCTGCCTCTTGGGACAGAGTCTGCCCCATGACAGAGCTGAGGCTGGAGGCCAGTGGCCGAAGCATTGGGGCAGCAGCCCGACCCGGGGAGCACCCGAGCAGGAGGACAGCCACAGACTCACCTCCGCCAATGCAGCCCCCGTGGACGGCAGCAATCACAGGCTTGGGGCACTGAGAGGGAACAGGAAGAGTGGGGTCAGGGCTGGCCCAGGGGAGGTGGGCACGGAGGGGGATGCCCTCCAGCCCCCTAGAGTCACCTTCTCGATGACGCTGAAGGTCTCCTGATATCGAGTGATGATGTCACGGAGGTACCAGCTGATCCGGGCCACATCATCTCCTTTGGGCTGCAGGATGTCCGAAGCCAGGTCCATCAGGTCAATACCTGATGTATTGAAGAAGGCGTGGAGAGCTCACCCAGGCCCCTGGTCCCCACCCATTGTCCCAACCAGGGGTCAGAACCCAGGCGCAGCAGGTTCGAACCCCCAAACCACCAAGGCAGAAAAAACAACTCACACAGGACTTGGTGAGGGATTGCATGTGGAGTGGGAAGGAAATAAAAGGCAGCATTTGTGGAGTCGTTACTCACTGAATCCTCACAACAACCCTATCAGCTAGGTCCTATTACTATTTGTGTTACCGATGGGTAAACTAAGGCAC